TTTTTTTTTTTTTTTTTTTTTTTGGGCGAAGTGACTTTGGCAGCTGTATGTCCCGCCTCCCCGACGGACCTGCACGGTCTGAACCGATGGACTGAATCTTGACGGAAGCATGCGACGACTCATAAATAATGATAAAAGATAACTTTTATAACACACATGAACATAATTTTTTTCTAAGTGTGAATGTCGAACTTTAATCTCTTATTTTAGCTTGAGATGGCTCAAGATGCTTCCCGAAATATCAGACGATATTACAGAAACACTTACAAATATGGTGCAGGAGCACAGACGATATGTGAGTGAGTTCTTTTACATTCAAGCTCATTTGACTGATTCAAAGTACTGATGCATAGCTCGAACTATTCTGCAGACCTGGCTCCTGGGGGCTCTGATGACTGGGCGTACAATCTTGGCATCAAGTACTCGTTCACGTTTGAGCTCCAGGACCGCGGACGCTATGGCTTTCTTCTGCCACCATCTCACATTTCCCAGGCATGCAATGAAGCACTGCTTGCTGTGAAGACTATTGCTCGAAGGGTCATAGACAAAACAAAAGCTTCAATAAGTCCTTCTTCAACTGCATAAGTAGCAGTACAACAAAAATATACATGATAATAAAATCAGGATAAACCCTGAAAATGACTGTGACTGTGCTCAATTTGTGTGGTTTTTTTCCCCCACCGGTTGACAAGAGCTCAGATCTCACAGTGAAAGTGCTTGAAACTATTTATTTTTACAATAAATACAGCTTTTTGACGCAGTGTATTTCTTTTTTGCTTATGTATTCCTTTTTGCATAGGAACATAACAAAACATTAGAATTGGTATTTAAACAGTTCTCTTCATCATGCCTTTCACATTTTGACATCATGCGTTAAGCACACCTAAAAATTTATGAAAAACATGATTTAGGCCATTATTTTTAAAAAGGTACGATTTGCTACGTCCGTTAATTTGACCAGGCACACACAACTTCATGACTGACTACTTTAACAATATAAAAAAATCCAATCCAACACCCGTATTAAAAAAAATTCTTATTTTCTAATAACATTGATCAGATTTTATCAATACAGTTACAAAAGTATTAATTCAATAGTGTGGGGGTTTTTTTTGTGCTTGAACTTTACAGTGGCGTGTACACTGAGTTCTATCTAGTATTTTTATTTCCCGGATACACGGGGGATTAAACATAATGGGAACAGCTCTCCGTCTCATTCATAAAAATTCCAGTTCTGTATTTTTGCTGTGTCTTGAACCACCAGAAAACTTAGGTCCAAATGAATGTCATCTAAGGGCTGTAACTTAAACCAGATTTATTTATTTATCTATTTATTTCAATATAATCAAAAATGGTTTCTGAGTACAGTAGATATGTAAGCTGATGGGGTCGTTGTTTTTAGTGGATAGCTCTACTTTAAGAATGGGCAAAAGGAGAGATAGAATCCTTTGAATGCAGTTTTATTAAAAGGGAAAAAAAAGACGTCGGCACCGCAGCACCTTCGAAGAGTCCAACTCCTTTTTCCGGTTAGTAAAACACTTCCTGTTTCCTTCAGCCAATCAGACGCTCTCAATATAAGCATGTTTAAGAAATTATTAAAGAGAATATAATTTAGGTAACTTTAACATCAAAGAAAATACTGTAATGTTCAAACATAAAATGATAATCAACAATTTAACAAAGGCCTACAGATATATAACATGACTTTCAGCATGTCATTTGTGACCTGATCGTGCCAGCGAAGGACAATGTAAAAGAAAAAAAACTTCAACCGTTAGATGGCGCTAGTATTATTCATGCGTCTCGCGTTGCCTTTCGCGGGCGCCAAAGAAGACTGTGGTCTATGACGCACATCCTCCGTCAATATGCGGACTCCCCGGGAACTATTAGAATTCGCCTTTGAGGAATAAATGTAATTTATTCAGTTAATAAATCTTATATCTGGATAATAGTAGATGCGACACCGATTCAGAATCCTGGGTGAGCGGTCTTGTTGTCTGTTCATTGTGCAGCATACGCGCTCGGAATCACGAAGGCCTCGCGCTCAATGAAAACACGAAGTGCATCATGCTAGCTTAGGCTCTTTCGTTTGTTTGCCTCAAACGTTAAGGTCCATACGTTTTACGAATGGTTCAATGCAGTTTACTGTTGTCGTTTGCAAGGATAGTAATCACCGTCGGTCTGTTTGCATCGCAATTTAAATCATACAGGCAAGGAGGCATTTTGCTTTCCCAAGACTCGCACACAAGAGTGCGTTTTATGGAGTTAGCCCCACTTAATAGGGACTTGGACTTTTTTCCCTCAAAATTGTTAAATCATATTTTAAATGGTTTTACCAAATGCACCACAATTTAACAGAAAAAGTATTTCTCCATTTGTCAAATTTGATTAACCCAGTCCTGATAGATTTAAATTTGAATTTCATAAAATCCCCCCGTAATTTTCGTGTATGCGGATATAATGTATCCATACAGTTAAATGTGACCCGGGATTTCTCAGATGTTCCACTCTGTTGGTGAAGGTCTGAGAGTACAGACAGTTGACAACAGACCATTTACATGCATGTATATATGGGAGTAAGGTGGATGAAAAGAGCCTCTGTCCACGATATCGTCTGTCTGATCATTGATGTTTTTGAAAGCAAGAAAAATCAGTGGTACCGGCAAGTTGAATATATGTTGACAGTATTTATATTTTACATATTTGATACATGGCGGCCCGTTGGTCCAGTGGTTAGCGCGTCGACTTCACAGTGCAGAAGTTCCGGGTTCAATTCCAGCTCAGGCCTCCCTGTGTAGAGTTGCATGTTCTCCCCGGGCCTGCGTGGGTTTTCTCCGGGTACTCCGGTTTTCTCCCACATCCCTAGGTGTGAGTGTGAGCGTGGATGGTTGTTCGTCCGTGTGTGCCCTGCGATTAGCTGGCAACCGGTTCAGGGTGACCCTCGCCTACTGCCCGAACACAGCTGGGCTCGGCTCCAGCAACCCATCGCGACCCTTGTGAGGATAAGTGGGTCGGAAAATGGATGAATGGATTTATGCCATTAGTTCTGAAAACTGTCATATCTAAAGAAAACAAAGTATCTTTTCAGTCTAATAATCTTTACTACCAAGTGCTGTGGGTATGTTCTCTCAGGAAGTCAACTGCCTGTATTGAGATCATAGTTGATTCAATGGTTGTGTTTGTCCAAACTTGTAACAACAGATTTTTGCATGATTTCCACCAGTCCTGCAGAATGTCCAAGATCAGGCGGAAGGTTACAGTGGAGAATTCAAAAACAATATCCGATAGCAGCAGCACCACCGCATCCAGCAGCACCAACAACCCTGCGGCCCCTTCGCGACGGCCCAGCGTGTTTGAAAGACTCGGCCCGAGCACCGGAAGTAATGCTGCTGATGTATGTACAACACAGATTGTGGTATGTAATTTCTGTGCTGTCCACTGTCATGAGTCAAATGCTCATTTATGTCTTTCAGAGTCACTGTAGAAATTGGCTGAAGACAGGAAACTGCAGTTACGGAAACACTTGTCGCTACACACATGGAACTCACCCACGAGGCAAAGGATTTAATTTCAGCCGGTATGTTGCTTTGTTTTTTAAGTAGGCTGAAAATTTGGAAAATAATGGAATTGTCTTTTTTTGGTTTTTTTTGTTTTTTGTTTTTTTTTAACCTTAATGTTGTGATTGCGATGGAACATAATTTTTTTTCTCCCTATAGTCATTTTGTAATGTATTTTTCAACAATGAATTAATCTTTATTCAAGTAAACAATGTCAGATCTCTTATAATTACAGGATACTAAGATATTGGTAAATTAAGCATTAATTATTATGAAAAACAGTATACCATGAGAACATAATTCTGCAATTCAAGTAAGGCGAACATGTAAGTTTACACTGTACTGTGTGAATCACTAAGAAATCCCACAAACTAAAGGCAAGGCAGCGACTTTGTATTGTACGTTTCATACACAAGGATTTTCAATGTGATTCACACAAGCAAAGACATCTAAAAGCATTTAAAAACACAACAGCTAACTACATTCAGAATCAGAGAGAAAAAACTTACATTGACAATAATAAACACATTAACAGAAGACTTTAAACAACATTTAAAAGTAAAGAAATAAAATTAGGTGTGTCGATTCAAACAAATCTATGACTTTTAACTATTCAACATATCCAAATAAATTTTTCATTAAACATAATATCTAAACATGTGGACTGCATTTCTTAAACATTGACATATCATCTAGGCCGATAAATAAAATTGTTATGCTAGTGGTGCAACAGATCATTTCGGATCAGCAAAAAATAAAACAAGATGAATAGAACTCTGTATTCATTTATTTTATAAAACATTTTTTGTTCATTAAATAAAAAATAAATAAATAAATAACGTTCAACTCAAAACGTCATATATAGCCATTAAGATTTCAGGAACACTGCAATATAAAGCAGGATAAATTCTTATTTTATATCTGGACCGTGAATGAAAAAGACCTCAAAGTGCAATTTGAGGACATCCTTTTCCTTGAAACATGGAGAGTGAATTGCAAACTCTCTTCATTACTACAATAAAAATTGTGACAAGCCGAAATGTCAAAAGGGGTGTTCACACGGCACACATTTGCTCCGGCGCTGCACCGATGTATTTTGTTGCGATATATTTTACACCGGAGCAAATTTTGTGGAGCGTTCACACATACAAAGCCCCTGAGCGTGTTAGCACCGGTGCAGCCCCGATGCAGCCCCACTTGCATTCACATGGCAGTTTCTGCAGCGGTGCACAACGC